TCCTTATGCTTCTAAGCCTTGTTTAAAAAAAACAAAACAGCGAAGTTAAACACTGCGTAGTTAATGGCCACCTCAGCCTGATGTAATGTGTTGTCTGAGGTTACATCATTCCCATTCATTGGAAAATAATAGTCATTGTGAATTTCTGGGTCTGGCAGCCTCGTGTTCTGCAGTGTGATTTTTTTTTTTTTTTTTTTTTTTAGAAATCCTTGATAAATCGAGTGCCCAAATCTCAAAATGTATGCATGTGAATTTAGCCTTTCATATTGAGAAGGAAGATGCTTAACCTGAAACCCAAAGTTCTTCAGTGTATTCAGGGTAGCATTTCAGTATAGAGCAAAACATAAATATTGAGTTGGTTTTAATTTTTTCAAATGCGTACATAGTAAGATCTAAGTGTCTGCTTAAATTTTGTGTGCAAACCAAAACACCAGTGTTAAAATTTTCTCTCTGGACTATTGAAGATTGAATATTTCTTTTTTTGATTGTCAGCTGAAGTGACACATGTGAGATTATAACCCGGAAGGCTGTACCTGCTTCACCATGAAGTATGTAGGTATCTCTACCTCTTGTTCTTAGACTTGAACAGTTTAAGGTTACCATCCTTTTCTCCCAGGATTTTATGCCTGGGTAAGTAAGATTTTTTTTAATTGACCCAAGTTAAGTATTATCTATATGCCATACTTCTTGGTATACCGCTTAACTTACATGCACTCTTCCCTTTGAAAAGGAGCGAAGTCAAGTTGCAAACAAGTGTCAGTCCTCCGGGTTCTAGTTTTGGAGTGCAGTAGAGTGGCTGGAGCTACACCACGTGTGGCTCAGGGGCTTTCGTGTTCCTGCTCAGGCTGCCTGCACTGACAATACATTGAAGGTGAAGCAGCTGCTCCCCAGGAGGGAGCCATGTCACTTTTTCATTTGCCCATGAAAAACTTCAGGAACTCCCCTGATGCTCTGCTGTAGCATATTTTTCCTTTGGTGAAAAATACAATGGCTTGTTCCATGTTGTGCTGTACTGGTAACAGCCAAAAAAATTGGAGGCTGCAAAAGTGTAAGGGCAACACACATGTGTTCCCCCCCCCCCCCACCGAGGGCAGCATCTTCCTCATGATATGCTTAGAGCAGAGCTGGAGAGTTCCCAAGTGCATTGGTGATGCTGGGCTGGTTCCAGTGCTGTTTTTTCCTCATTACTGCAGTGAGGTGGTGTCTCTTCCCTGCCACCCAGCTGCGCCCCTTGCTTTCCTCCCTGGAGGAGCCTACGGCACAACTGCTGGTACACAAAGCGAAATAGCTGGGCTGCAGCAGGTGCTGCCACAAGCTGCTGCTTCCAGTCTGAGGGCTGCGCTGGGCAGGGGCTGCTTGCACTATGTGTACAGGCTCGCATTTCAGGAGCCTGAGGGACTAGAGATGATAGGTAAAAGGAGCATGAATGTGCTGCTAACAGCTTGCCTTAAATCACTGACATTACAGCGGGCCTGCACTACTATTGCAATCCTCAGTCTTTCTGTAGTTAAGTTTCTAAATGCAACAAGTTCTGGAGGTCTTACAACCTTTCTATTTTTAAAAAGCTCCTGTCTTTGTGAAATTGCACTCTTCAGATGAGCCCTTTCTGGACAACACATCAGTTTTTCACACAGACAAAATACCTTAGTCTCCCATGGTCGTGCTGTAGCCCCTTCCTTCCCCCCATCCTTGTAAATTATATTTGGCCTGAAGGTTGCCTGCTGTGGAAGCAGTGTGTTTACTTGAATGTCACTGTTTTATGCAGTTACAGCTGCCAGCTCTTGCTTTTCTCTGGGCCCACGTGGCACCTCCGTGCGGTGGCAGTGGAGTTGGAGGCTGGCTGCTGGTTTTATACTCCCCTATGTAGTAAATGTTAGAGGGCTTTGCATAATAGTGCTTAATATTTTGAAGCGGTGACTTTTTAGTCATGTTAAACAGTTATCTTAAAATATTTCTACTTTCTTATCTGCAAGTTTAACATAGTCTTTTGAAGAGGAAATGGGCTGGCAGGAGCAGCTGGATGGCCTCATGCTGTTGGTTCCTGAATGTCTTGGGTTCCAGAAGTGGCTGCAGCGTGCAGGGTTAGGGCCTAACCCGGGGCTCCGGGGGCTGTACTGGATGGTCCTGAGGGCATGAAGCAACCGCAAGTCATTAACAGGCTGCAGGGAGGTGACTGTCAGCATGGGCGAGCTGATGCAGCTGGATTTCTTGGAGTACTTGCTTGTGGATCTCAGCCCCAATTTAGTCCTGTCACCCCTTATGGCAGGTATGCAATTTGATGGTATATTTGCTCCCAGAGCAGTAACTAACCAAGGAAACAGTGAAAGCACACCTTTGTGCAGCTTTCATTGACCTGCATGTGACCACAGCTAGCTGACCAATCCCTCGGTTCCTCAGCAGACCCTCAAGGGTACGTAGGATCAAATCTGCTCTTCTCCGTGTCAGGAGTGATTTTTGCCTTTTCAGACTCTCCAATAGATACTGTGTGTGATCCGATTCTGTCACGCTGGGAAACGATGAATGTATTGCTTGTCGTGGAGCAAACCATGCTTCCTCTTCTAGACAGCACATTCCCAAGTGCTGTGTAAATGTAATGCTTGAAAATGGCTGGAGTAAATTCTGTTTCATGTAGGCCCCTTTTTTAAAGGGATGTGGCCAAATTTGAAAAAACAAGCTAGGGACAAAGTGGGAGAAGGTCAAGATGATGCATCTATACTGAGTCCCATTTGCTATGTTGCTTTACAGTTACTTTTTGTGTATCAAATTTTGCTCACCATTATTGTCTGGAACAGAATGGAAACAGCATCTTACAGAATGTGCAATCTAAGGCACAATGCAAATAGGTTGTAATAAGGAGGTTGTCTTTACTTGATAGCAATCCTGAGTGCAATGTTCTTGTCGTGTCCCTTTTGAAAAGCATTAAGTGCAGTCTGAGATTTTTCTTTACTTAAAAGCAAAGCATTGGTTTGTCCATTACTGACTTCTTGTGGAGTTTGTGCCAGATGTATATTAAATATTTTGGTGCTTTTTCTAATCCAGGCTGCCATTCATTTACCTGTGAGATTATTGTACTTCTGTATATTTAAATGACCAAGCCCTTAAAGAAAAATAACTCACCATCACCAAAACCCAACAACCTTTAGTCACCATGTATCCTTACTACTGCAGCTTTGTAATGTTCTAGAGCTTCTGGGTTTCCTGTATTCCAGTAATGTCTGAGGGAGGGTGGGGAGCAGCTAGAGAAACCTAATCCACTGGAAAGGGACCTTGCACGTTGTTCCGTGCGTTACTGAACAAATGAGTAACTTTGTGGTGTTTACATAATGACACTTTGGTGTTCACTCTTTTGTGCTGAAGCTTTGTACAAAAATGTCTTATTTAAAGCTGAAGTCCTTTTTACATTTTCAATTAAAAGGGGAAAAAAATAATTATTTTTTCATGACTGTAAATAGGACTCTTGCTAGTTTTATTTGTAATACACAGTTTCTCAAACAGGACTCTTGGATGCTTACTAATGCTTCTCAGTCCTTGCTGGGATGTGACCACATCATTTTTAAGTGCATGGCCTGAACCCTAGCTGCTTTTGTTGGTGTCATTCAACGCTGCAGCGCACGTGTCTACAAGGAGCTGCTGGATGTCAACAGTCTTAACAACAGGAGGGTGATCTTACGGAGGGATGAGTGCAGAGGTCAGGTCAGGCTGCCATTCACCCCAGGGGCCAGCTCACCAAGCTGACACCACGGTCTCTGCTGTGCTCAGGTAAGCAGCAGGGCAGGGCAGTGCGGGATGAAGGACTGGCCACCGTTCTGGTTGTATAGCGACGCTGCCACCGGTGTCAGTGTACTCATGCCTGTTTGCAATAGCTAAAGCCTAAGGCTGCCAGGCTCACTTGGCCTGGATACATTATGGGTTTAAAAGGGAGGAGAAATGTTTAATAAGAGAGTTCCTTTCAGGAGTGTTGAAGGCTTTAAATTGTAGGTATGAGAAACACTGATGTGAGCATCTCCTACTCACTCACTAGCACTGCCTCTGAACGACTGCATTTTTTTCCCTGCTATTATTTTGCCTGCTCCTCCATGCAGCATCTCCCAACTTCTATGCCATAAATGGCTCTTTGCTCAAGAGCTGTGCAAAGCAAACTGGGGATCGAAAGTAGGAGGGTGTGATATTCTGTCAGCTGTAGTTCATCATGTCTAAGTAATAACTCTTTCAAAATTATCTTAGCCTATTCCAATTCATCCCAAGAAATCCTTTGTCTCAAACTTTGTAACAAATGTTTCCTTTAGATTTTTTAATGCCCAAAGCTTACCTAGGCATCCTTGTGCTTGCAAATTCAGTTTATTACCAAGAGATGGTCAGCCTTTATTTCTAGGTGGCAGTGGCTGCAAAGTACAGAGCTGAAGCTGTTCAGGCTGTAAACCATCGCATCCTTCTGCTGGTCATGTACTGTTACAGCAGCTCTGCACCCAGCTGCCCCCTGAAACCATGTGTGACGTTTGCACAGGTATGTGTGTGTCCCTCAAAAGGGCCCTTGTCCCTCCCACTGCAGCCACTGTAGAATTTTTTTTTTGAAGGGTGCTGGGAGGTGGTCAAGGAAGGAAGAGAAAGTGGAGATTATCCAAGAAGGATGAATCACCCATTCCTCCTTTCCATGGACTAAGGACAGTACTTTCCCAGAAAGGAGGCAGCAACGGCTTGAGGAGCTGGCACAGCACATTTCCAGAGATCCACGCAGTTCCCAAGAAGAGCTTTTAACTGTTGAGCAGCTGCTGTAGGTACTACATTAGCTTAGCTTAGCTTACTGGTTTGTGGCCTCCAACATTTTAGTGAACACAACCCAGCTCATCCATCAGGCTCCTCCAAGGAACCAGCTTGCTGAATTAGAGCACAGAGCAACAGTGATTGCGTTTTTTGCAATAATACTGCCTCTACTTTAGCCCCAGCTCTTCCTCCAGCACTTGCCTAGGTCACTGCCAGGAAAAATGCTACAGCAAGAAGGGTTAACAGGAAAGATGGTTTGAATAGCTTTTATTTTTAGACTTTATAAAAGATACAGTGAAAGGCTATTGTTCTTATGATAAGGGGGTCTTTACAGAGACATCAATATTTAAAGTAATTAAGAATATCTTAACAAAAGGTTGCTTAAAAACATGGCAGCTTAACAAGCACTGCTCCCTCCATTATCTTTTATTCCCATCAGACCAAGGCCAGACTGCGATTCATGGATGCTGCAACATAAACAAGAGATGTTATTTCTGTTCAGGGTAGCAAAGTTAGCTGGCCTAGCAGTGAGGAGCCAGGAACCCCCTGTGTCAGCACACTGAAAAACTGCAAGGTTGTTCTTTGTTTTTTTCCCAGCCAGTCATGAGTCATCATTCTTTTTAAACAAGAAGCCTGGGCTGAGCTATCATTCCTCTGGGAAACAGTAATTTGGGAGCCTCAGTTGGCAAGAAACCTCTTCCAGGCCTGAGAGGGTGCACCCTTTTTCCCAAACTGTCTCAGACATGGCTGAGTTATGCTGAAGCAGCATTTGACACCATGCTTGTGCAAGAAACCAGTTGTAGAGGGCTACATGCAATCAGCATTTGTCTAATGAGGGAAGAATTGCTGCTGTCTCGTTTTACATGCTGTTATTCTTTGGTGTGATGGGAAACCAGCTAAATGATCTGTTCTCAAGGAAAAGAAATTGACGTTACCAACAACTGCCCAGGTAGAGCAGACCATGCCAAGAGCTGCCTTTGGGACGTACCCTTGCTAAAAGGGCTTGTCACAGGCACTGAGCCCAAACAGCTTCTGGACTTGCGATGCCTCCCCCCCTGCAGGGACGGTGGTCAAGAAGATAATACAGCAGCACGTGTCCTCTCCTCGGGAAGCTTTGCAGGTAAGAATGGGGAGCTGGGCCTGGCTGCGGAACCTGACAAAAGAGCTGCTGCTCTGGTTCTCTGCTTCTATAGCAGAGCCTGGCTCGTGTCTCCCCAGAGGCCTGGTGCCCTGCTGTTGAAGATGAACTTCAAAAAGACAGGGATAGATGTGAACCTTGTCTGACTGGCTGAAGAGCAACACTTAGAGAACTGAGAGAAGACTGCTGAACTAAGAATATATTTAGTAACTAAGGCCTTGCCTGGGAAAGATTCAATTTTCTTGTTAATAATTAAACAGGGACTGGCCATCCATCGCACTTCAGGGCCCTTGGGAAATAAAGGGAGCCTATCTCCTGTGGAAGCATCCCTGCTTTAACCTCTGAGGCCCAACTCAACAACTGCGTCTTTCCTATGAAAGATAGCAGTGTTTTGTTTTTTTTTTTTTTTCCCCAAATCATGCTTTTATATTCCTGACAGAAGAATGGAGTTAACCTGGATCCCTGATCCATGCTAAGGATAAGCATGTAAGGCAGGGTACCACCAGAGAACTGGTAGATGGTGCAGGGGAAGGAAGGGGGAGGGGTATGATTTTATTTTGTTAACAAAATAACTTGACCATATATAAAACACTACCAACACCTAGTAGAACTTCTGAAGTGTGTTTCTCTCCCTCCTTAAATGTCTTTCCTGCAAGGATAGTGTAGTGAGGGAGAGGAGAGGACTCCTAGCAAAAGAGAGGCAAGTTACCTGTTTGTTCCAGGGAAGAGAACAACGCACAAGGTATTCTTCTGCAGACTTCTATAAAGCTTTTTTATAATCTGGTCCAACTTCTTCACCTTTTTCCTTAGATCCTGCTCCTGTGTAACAGAATACAAACACTGAAATCCCCTATTCTTCTACAAATATGTAACAATCACATCTGAAAGTGTTTATACAGAGACTGACCCTGGAGCTGTGTCAGGGATGGAAGGGGAGATTCTATTTTTGGATAGCATGTGGAAGTGCAACAGCCCAGCTGCAGGGAGTGCCACATACCCTACTCACACGGCACTGCAGGTTCCTCCACTAAAAATGGGAGCTGCACCTACATCTATTCTTTCCTGTAGGCTACACAACTTGTCGCTTCTCTCTGACTTCCATACGGCTCCCTATACCTGTGCATTGCTCAGCGTGCTCTCAGCTGGGAGGCTGCAGTTCTGCTCTGTGGAACTCACTGTTCCATAGGCCCAGGCTGTTTTTCAGTTATTCTGTACCCCACTAATGCCACGTTATCTCCTGGGATATTACATCTTCAAGCTGCCTTAGGAAAATTGAGCCATGGCACCCTCTGCACCAGCAGAAGATCCAACTGCTACATACAGCTCTGTACCTAAGCCGCCTCCCAGTGATCACCTCTAGTTCCCAGGGCAGAGGCAGTTCCATGCCATTATCCTTGCTAACAAACTGCAACAAACACCAGCATAGCCTTAAACTCACAGAGTCAGATAGAGGCACCGTCTTCTCACATAAGCTGTTTCCTACTTGCTTCCCACTGCTGTGATTCATTTGCCAAATCCATCTCCATAGGTGACCTGAAGCAAGCGCCTTCCTACTTCTTAACTTGCTGCCCTTCACAGCCCAGCTGCTTATAACTTCAAGGGCATCCACAGCACTTTGTGATGTCTGGAATTCTGAAAAAAACAAGAAAGGGATCACCCTTTGCCAGTTATGATGCCCTGTTCTTTGGCACCTGCAGGGCAGTGCTAAAAAGGTAGAGGGCTAAAGGGAATGAGACACTGAAAATCACTGCAGTAAGCAGATGCTCATCCTGCAAACAGGTAAGTGTCAGACTACAGGACTGCCAGTTAAGTGCAACACCACTCATCTGGCTGTTCTCTTCATTTTTTAGAAGTGATTACATGTCTGTGCAAAGCTGCACAGTAGCCAGCTGTGCTTTCACCCAAGTATCTCGAATACTGTCTCTTGGAGCAGATGTGAGGTTCAGTTGCTCTTGCTGTGTCACTGAATTTCCCAGCACTGCTGAACAAGCTTATTTGAAGGAAATAACCAGGCTGCATGGCAAAGCTACTTACTGAGGAAACAGCAGTTCCTGTGCCTTCCACTCTGGAGATCCTTTGGCAGGAACAGAGTTTCCAGGCCTTCCAAGTGGCTGAATTCTTCTTGCAAGTCTGTTTCGCTTAATGACTTCTTTAGACCCGCCACATAAATCACACCTTCGTTTTCTATATCCTGTTCTAGTTCCTGTATCAGAACATCACAGTCCAGCATTGCAGCAGTGACAGGTCTCTGAACCTGGGGTGGGTCCAACAGGAACACACACAGTACATCAGCCAAAGCAGCTCTGTGTTCTGAGCTTCTGTTTTAAGTGATTCTGTCCAATTGCCAAAACTGTTAGCTATTTTTCCCTTCCGTGAACAATGTAATTAAGGAAGGATAGATTAATTAGTCATGAAAGATATGTCTGTAATGCAGGACAATTAAGAATACTATGTATGTGGCATTTTAACACCCGGTTACTTGGCTCCTCATTTTTAAGACACAGTTGCCAGGTCAGAACGCTTTCTAACCCTTTCTGTTGGCAGATGGCAAAGAAAGAGGGCAACAACTTTCTGCCATCTCCTTTCTGCCAGTGGCCCTAAATTGTCTAGAGGCAGGGAGATGGCAACAGCACAGCCAGCCAGGATTTGCCCAGACTCTATGCTCAGGGTAGGCACTATGAAGTGACATATTAGTCAGTATTCCTGTGCTACATGTAACTTAGGTTTTTGCTATTTACTTTGTTTACCTTAATGCAGGATCCTGCTACCTTAGCTCCATCTAGGCTTTCCACAGCAAGCTGGGCAGCTTCTAGCACCTCATACTGGATACAGACGTAGGGCTTGAAACAAGATAATACACGTCAGATTTATGAATAATACACATTAGCCCTACCCCTTGTTGTAAGTTGTGTTTGTTTTTTTTTTAATAGCATATAAAAAGGGTTGGGTGGGTAATACAGGTAACACTCCATACACTGTAGCTGTTTAAAAAACCTTCAATTAACTTGGCAATTATTAGCAACCTTGTTTTGCCATTAAAGGCCTAAGCATATCAATTCTCTTGAGAGAAACAAAAATCATCTTGGTTTCACCAGTACTCAGTTAAAGCACTTCAGCTTGAGCAGCATTGTTATGCCACATCAGCTGTGCTTCTTGTTGCTGTGTGCAGCAGCTTTTATATGTGCTGAATTGTTGTAGCTCATGACTAAACAGCCAGAGGAAAAAAAACACAAGAGACAAAAAAAGATATTTAAGTGGTTCTCATCCCTAGCTATCCTAGAGGTTACTCTGGACTTCACTGCCTGTCAAACTGAATGCCTTGAGTGCCCCTCACCTGGTATGTTTCCGTAACCACTGTCAGAGACTGGATTGGTCCACACTTCCCAAATTCTTTTTTCACAGACTTCAGGCAGAAACTTTCTTCAAAAGGACCTGCATAAATTGTCAGCATGTCAGTCAGCTTGCTTCTCACCTGTGGGAACACAGACTAGAGAAGGACCTTCACAAAGCATACATGTCTCTTTCCAAGTTGAGCAATGAAGACTAGTCTTGCTCAAAAAAAAAAAAAAAAAAAAGAGGTACCTTCTCACAAAATCCAGCAGGAAGATGAGATGCAATGTACTCTGGACCCAAACTGAACTGAACGATACTGAATGTGGAGAGGGGAACATCTTCTAAGGCTCTCTGAAGAATCTGGGAGGAAAAGAGTACATATGGCTCAAAGAGGTGCAAGGTAATTGTACTGCAAAAGATCAGAAACAAAGCTCTTGAATTTAGTTCTCCACTTTAATTGTCATTATTGTCCAAGGAAGCCCTCAGGCAGAAATTCTTCTTTAGTGAGTCATGAGAGGGTGATAGAGGATCAAAGCTTATTTCTGAAATAAGAAAATGGATTTAGCTAACCTGGTATTAACACTATTGCTAACGCTACTGTCAGCCAGCTTTTTAAAATAGGACTCATCAACCCACCCCCAGAACAAGAACTTCAAACTACTTTGAAGCTTGCTTAGACCAACCCACCCAAATCCATTCACCTGTTTGTTTGAAGTGCTTAGGTTACTCTGACACAGGCCAGAAGAGTCCACTTCTTGTCTGCCTAAAAGGAGGGGTTTTTGGCCGGTCACCTGCAAGCAGTCTAAAAAACTAGCGGAGAGAAAAAAAAGCTGTGATGCACAGTAGTTATTAATACAGTGAGTTAAAAGCATGTAAGGAAGTGCCTGTCACTGAGAAATGACACAGTTCATTAAAGAAATCTTAAATAATATTCTTGCCCTCAAGATCAAAAGCAGCCTGGAAAATGCTTTGTGAAATTTAAGATACTATTTCTGAAAATTTTACAGTGTTACTCTACAATTATCTGTGTCTCTCTAAAGGCACTGGTGGCTTTTGAAAACATAAGTCACTTCTTTGATTTCACTGAGGATTTGATCAAAGGAAAAACATGCATATCTGAGAATCTTATTACCATGGTTTGGATAGATGCGGAGGATCATTCAACTGCTTCTGGACCCTACATCCTTGTGGCTGTAACGCAGATTTGTTCTGTGACACCTCAGTCAGTCTTTCAGTTGTCAGCAGCATTTCCAAATTTAGTTCTGCTACCTTGTGGAAGGAAGAAGATGAGTAGATTGGTTTCATCTCAGCTAATTGTAGCTAACCAAGTAGCATGTGCCTTCTCTATGAGTCACCTAGGCACATTCCACAGTAGTGGAGAAAGACAAACATTCATTTTTTGCCTTATTATTTTCTGTTGTCATTTTAAGCATGCAGCACTTAGGGCATCAACCAGCACATCCAAAACGTCCTCTCAAGAAACCAACAGTACAAGGGGATTCAAAAAACCTGCTGCCAAAACATACGAGGTCCTCACTTCTTTATTTAGAAAAAAATGATAGGTACTCCTGTAGGCTGCAAGCGTCTGAATCTTTCTTCCCCCAATGCCCCTCTGCAAGATCAGCCTGATTTCTCTTTTAAGTCAGTAAGAGGATGGGCAAGAATGCTTTTTCTTCGTATACACAACTTGTATATTCTGCTGTTAAAGATATTAGATATAGCTACCTTTGCTGGTCCTTGCTCAATAAAGAATTGAGCCAGTTCCAATGCAGCTCTTGCATCTTCTGTAGGATCATGACCAAGGTTCTGGTCACACTGGATCTCCTTCCTAGGGCATCAAAATTAGGTGTACTGGCAGGTTATCTGTTTTTCCATACTGACCAACATCTCGTCTTTTCTAAATTGGGTCCTTTTCAGGCAAAATAGCTTTCCCCTCTCCAAAAAGGATTTCAATTCTGTGCAGCAGTATTCTTGTGAAATATTCCCCAAAGTTACTGCAAGAAATATTTTTGCAACATTGAGCAAAACACCGTTTACAGGGTTTGACAGAAGCAGCAGTAATACTTGGTATTCTGAGGCATGATTATTTTTAATTTTGCTTTTTCCTTGACCAATGACCCAATGCACAGGCAGGGAGGCAACCTCCAAGTCAGTGAGGTTTGTAGCTAGAGAAAGTGGTGCGTGCTGGATTGCTAAGATGTGCTATGATAGCTAGTATAGCGAGGGACATGATTAAGTCAGTAAATTATACTTCCGTAAGTTAGCTTTTCTTTCTAGATAACTGCAACATATCTCATTTATGTGAGCCAGAGTTCATTTGCTGCTCTACAATTTCATATAGTGGTAAAAGTGCAGAAAAGCTAGTTTTGTGGTTCACATACAAATGAGCTCATTACTGGTTGTGTCATAGCATCCCTACTTGCTCAAAGATAAGCTAATTTATGACACTGCCTGATGTTTCAAGCACACAGTAAACTCCTCTTTATTGTCTATTCGCACAGCCTGCTCTCCTTCCTTTTGAGTTTTATCAGAAAGAAAAAAATTCTTATCCTACTGGTGGAAGAGCAGGACCCTATAGCCCCCATAACAGTTTCTAATACTTTCCATGACAATGCAAAAATAATCTTACCCTAAAACAGCTTTGGCTAAAAATTTTAGCTTAAATCTTCGACCTTCATTTCTGGCAAAAAGCAATGAAGTATCAATAACACTAGGGTGGATCATCTGGAGGAGAGAAAACATCACCAGTTTAATTAAGAACAGCACTCACATAGAATCGGGCAGTGACTCCATTATCTGTGCCTCTGCCCTTTCATTTCAGTTGCCCATTTGTCACTGACAGATAACTGGTTCAGACAAGAGAACACATGGGAACCATGAAACAGCCCCAAATCTCCTTTCTAATGCTCTGTTGGGAAGACCAAGGTGGGGTTGGAACGACTACGACTCAAGCATTTTGGCCGGTTAAATTCAATACAGGAAGGACTTCAGTTCTTCCTGTGACAGTGATTGAAAGCACCTGGCTGAAGCAGAAAGGTGAAGCTTCTTCCTTTTGGGTTCTGAACAGCACCTTGCAGGTTTTATAGATGTAAGGGGAGTATTTCTCTTTTAAATCCTTACAGCCATAAGGCTACTCATAATGAAAAGCAACTAACAAGTGTTTACTGATTAAAAAAAAATTGAACTTTCAGACCTGAAATGAATAGCAGTTCTGGGAAAAATACTCTTAAAAGCATACTCACTTCCAAAGCCTGGAGATCAGCATTTAGAGAATGACCCACCAATACTGCATCATGCGGCAGTATTTTTTTTAGTCTGCTTTGTATGTCTGGCAATCTTGTTTTCACCGGAAGCAGCATCTTCCTTGTGATTCCCGAGAATCTTCAAAACAGAAAGTGGAAGGAGTACAAGCTGTGCATCAGCAACAGCACTTATTGGAGAACATTACAAGCAGCGTATGTAAAATAAGAACCCAGTGTAACAAATGAGAGAATGCAATTTATTGCTTCCTTAAATGCATTCCAACATAAGAGGATATACTGCACAAATATTAAGCTGCTACAGTTACCATATCTGTTTCAAAAGTTTGTTCTTTTTCAAGCATAACTTAAGTGATGCAGTTCTTAGCATCAGATAGCACAGGTAAGGAAATATTGCAAAGCTGACATGGAAGGAAATGCTTCCATGTAACCTGAGGGAATTGGCACTTCACCTCCTGGAAACATACACACAAAGTCTTGGAGAAGACGTGGCTTGAATTTTGCCTTCTTTTGTTATAATACTGAGCCCAGCCCTAGAGCTTGAAGTGAGTTTATGACCTGCACTGTTCATTTTCTATAGACGAGCAAACTTAGCTAGAGAGCAGAGACCCAGACTGCAATCCCGTACTCTTACTCACCCTGTGTCCTACTTTATATCTAGAAGTAAAGAGTAACCTGTACTGTGTATCATTAACCTGTAACAGAACTTTTCCTAGAACACTGCAGAATGATAACGCTTCTGTCTAGACACAGGGGCACTGCACAGCAGGGAGTGCATACATAACGCTGGTTATTCTACCCACAAAGCACAAACCAGATTCTTAACACCAAGTACAATGCAGTAGACATTGGTGAGTAGACAAGTGTACAGACCAGAATCTTCTGCAAGGTCCTGTGTTACAGGCTTGATTTGAAAGGCTTGTAGCTCTTGAAGAGATAAGACACTTCAGTACGACTCACCTGGTGCGGTAGTTCACTATTGTGCTTTCAGGTTTGACTAGTTCATTCAAGAGGCATTGACCCTGTGCATCCACCAGAGAGACACGAGTGACTTCATTTCCCCTTGCAGTCAGGCACTGTCAGGAAAAAGCAGAGGCAGCTTTTGAATCAGCACAACGCTGTCATTCAACAACCTTAGCTGAGATCTGCTTTGGCTACAGCCAGCATCACTGCTAAGGAGTTGCTTTACTTAGAGATCTGCCAGTTATAGCTTGCTTCATGCTGTAGCATGCTTCGTTTTAATTGTTAAATGCCCACCATAAACACAGCGAACACATAGGCAAGCACAACACAAAGATAGCCTTTACAAAGAAGTGCTGATTTCACAGAATCAGTTTGTATTCTGCACTGCAGGGCTGCAACTGAAAGCACCTTCACCAGAGAAGATAAATATAATTTAAAAGTAGGGCCCAAATCACATTGTTAGTCACTCAATGCTGATGCCAATGGAGCATCTCTGCAAGGTCAGAACTGCACTAAGAGAGGAATCCTCACCACAGCACGTTGCTGAAAGAACTGGAATGGCTAAAGGTGTAACAGAGAGACATCTCTGCATTCCCAAGCTTTGGGGAGAGCTGGGAGAAGGAGAGTTACTGCAGCATTGGTGATGGACCTGGCAGTTCCAGATGCTGTTCTGAAAACCACCATGTAACTGAGTTCTCTGGAGGAGAACTCTGAGTCCTTCCTGTGGTTGTATTAACACTGGTACCATAACTGAAGGGATTGGAAGCAGATGTATTAATACATCTATTGTATATTATATATATATATATAATACATTGATTAATACATGGTTTAATAAATGCCCAGGGTGCCTGGCTCATTTTGGAATAGCTGCTTGGAGCTCAATTGCTTGACTATGCTTTGTAAGGTCACACATTTATTTTTACCATTTCACAATCCAGACCAAAGAGGGGGCTGCTGTCTGTCCTCTGCTGATCACACTCTGTATGCACATAACCCTTACATCCAGGGGAGCCTAAAATGAAAAGACACCTGTGAACAAGACACAGACCTCCCTCTTCCAACAGAAGTCATGTATCTTACATGACCAGGCATATCATTAACTGGCAAAATTAAAAGCAAACAAAAACCAACCCAACCCAACCAAGCAAAAACCTCAAAAAACTGACCTTTCATGGGATAATCATTTTTTTTCAGCTCTTCTACAGTTAGAATGTACCTAGTAAGGCCTTGTTTTGATTCTCCGTATTTCCGGATGATGGGATCACATTGCAAGTCTGAGTTTTTAGGAATACATCCACTGCTAGTGGAAATCAAGCCTGTAACATACAGAATCACCTGTCAAGTTCAGATAGCACTCCTTACTTGCAGTTTTCTGCATTAGTATGCACACTAAGAGGTTACACCATTTCACAATAAAACACTATGTGGAACAATAAGATATTATATATATATATATAAATAAAAGGATAAATGATATATGCTGACGTGTGACAGGGTATTTGAATCCTACTCCCAGTTTAGCTACTGGCAGTTAGCTGATTGTGAGCAAGTCACGTCACAAGTCTGTCTCACATTCCTTTCAGTAACAGAGAGAACACTTTTCTCATAAGCATGACAGCATAGTCATCTGTTATGTAAGCTGTAAAAGTTCTCTTTTTTCCTACTTTCTGTGTGAAATTCTTTTCCTGAAGTGTTATTAGGAGAAAAGACACTCTGTGGCTCAAAAAGAAGCAAACTAACACCAGAATCCACAGCTGTATGAAGTCTAATTATTTTGTAGGTGATTCCCTGCAGATTGCACTTAAAGAGAAATATACCTGACATCTCAGATCTGTGACTGTGCAGTAGGTTTACAGTCAGGATGCTAGAGGACTTTGTCAATACACTGAAAGTAACAGCTGTTCATTCTCCCATTTAGGACTGGAATTCAAGATTCTTTGTTACACTTCTAACAATTTCAGTGAAGTTCTCATTGTAGTCTCTTGCGGGTTTTGTACAAGCCCGTTGGATTACAATCACCTCTATAAAGAGTGTAAAAATAGGAGATCAGTTGTCAACATACCTATTCTTTACCTTGATTTGCAGCTCAGCATAACAAAGAAAACTACAAGCAAATGAGTAACATCTTAGCTTGAATCTACTTTATATCCGTGTATCTATTATTAGATATATGTTACAATAAAATAACCACAAAATGGATAATGAAGCATCAGAATTTTGGGTTAAACTTACTAAGGTTTTCTGTTCTTTTTGCATATACTTATGACAGTAAGTCCAACAGAGAGTTACTGAACTAGTTAGAGGAACTAGCCTCTTGGCTATTATACTTGTTCCTTTGTAAACAAGTTTAGCATAGCAGCATGTTGGGATAGCACAGCATGCAAAGCTATTAAATTACTCTTGAAAGCAAATCACTGTGACTAAAACGGATGGTGCAAAGCCAACCAAGATACCTTGTGCATTGTTTTGAGTTTTCACATCTGCTCCTTCTCCATAAAGGTTGGCTAGGAAGCTAGCTGAAGAAGGTGGTAATGTGAATCTCTGACGAGAAAAAAAAAAAGAAAAAAAGAGATGTTTTAGGAACTTTGAATCACAGCAGAAATGTCAAGTATATAAGGTGCCTCTTTATCCCCACAGCAATGAAATTTAGAGAAAGGTGGTTAAAAAAGTAGCGGAAGCACATTGGGCATTTTCACAAGAAAACAAAACAAAACACAAACCAAACATTTTGATGATAATGCACACTATAGAATTCTTTGTACTAAGGAAAGATTTGCCTTCCCAGATATGACTGCGAATGTAAGTTTCGGACTTTAATTGATAGAAACTAAAGCACTTCCAGACTTTCCAGCTAAGCTGTGATTTTGTATTTGCTGCAGTTCAGAGAGAATTCTCTAGAAGTTCCAATCAAAGCACTTCTTTCTTCCTTCAAAAACGTTGCTTGTAGCTCAGAATAATGCTTTTGGGAAATGGAAGAAATCTGATAGAAAGTGTAAATTGTTAGAGTGAGATTTTTCAACCAGTCATAACTCTGAGATTCTCCTCACTCATAGCTTAAAGTAAGTTTCAAATCAACTGAGGTATTTTCAATCTCCCGGGCATCCTGAAGATGTTGGAAGTACAGAGGGCTGAAACACCAATGTATGCATATTTCACCTGGTAAGGCTTCAAAGACCTAAGTCTTGAAAAAACCGGCTTCCAATATTAAAGCCATGGTCTTTGTTCTGGGCTTACAAAGGCCACTAACAGATCCTCTCATTGCTTTAGGAGTCAAAAGGCAGACTCTTCCTATTGGAAAGACAATTTCACTGCAGCAATAATCATTGGGACTTGCTTTAAGGATTGCAGGAATTTTAGCAGACATCAATATAGCTTGGGGACTTACATGCTGGAACACTTTTCTGAGGTGTTTGAACTGTAAATAGAATTTGTAGAAATGGAGTTGGCTCATCTCATGTAGAACAATAACCACAACCCCTGCCAGGTGGCTTTGGTGATAAATACGGCACCAGCTGCAATTAAACAAAAGAAATCAAAGCAAAACAATCATCAAACACTCTTTAAAACAAACTTGGCACCAACCCAGCTTTTCGGTCAGTCAGTGGCAAAGTGCCAAGTGACTTCAATGCGAAGAGGCTTTTATAGCTTATCTCAGCCAGCCACATATTCCTAGAAGCAACATAACATGAGAAACAGAAAGAATGAATTGTAGCAAAATTCTGTTACAGTACCATTTCAAGTCATAACCTACCCACCTCATTTATATTAATCAGAATATGAATACATACAAGTAACTTCAGCTGTAGCGATGCAGTCTAGTCAATCAAACTGAAGAATGGAATCATTTCATCAAAATGAAAGCTTCACAAAATCACTTTCTCTTTGACAGTAAAAATCCAAAGTGGCGCATTTTGGCCTTTAGCTTTATTATATTTCACCATATTTATGCCCTCCGAGGTTGTATACACTCCGCAGCCTCCCACTTCCATTGCTGAGAAATTGCCCCTAAAAAAGGCAGTGATTAAAGTGTCCTTCCCAAAACACTCTAGAGAAAACATTTCAATTATATCTGTCATGAAATGTTATGCACTAATATTTTAACATATTTTTTTCCTCAGTGTGTTTTTTGTACAAAAAATGTTTAATTTTTGGTAACTGCATGAAGCAAAGCTATGAAATGGTAGAATTTTTATCAGAGAAGAAATTGTGGTCTCCAGACAAGTCTAACAAGAACCATAGCTACACAATGTAGCCTGTCATTACGGCATCTGTGCTGCAAGGATTCTAAAACAAGCATTGCCTATACCTTTAGGTAGGTTTTCACAGCATACGAGGACATAAGACAGGGTTGATTCCCAAATATGAAAGTGTTATACCTGGGCTGTGTGACATTGTAGCATTTTCCCAAAGCTGCGTACTTTAACAACTCGTAAACCTGGTCATGGCTGATTTCACAGTCCTCACCAAATAAAGCTGCAGACAAACGAGATGACTTTTCCTGCAAAAAGGAAAATGCCAGTAAAGAAAGTTCCATGTGATCACACAAGTTTGCAGAAAACGAAGTCAATTATACAGTAAAAGGAAACTATTTACCACTCAGGTGCAATCAACTGCATGTAAAATAACTCTTCCATTCAGTATGGGCAAAAAGTTCCTTTCCAGATCCCACTTCAATACTAAATTCACTGTCAGTGTTTCAGTAACCCAGGTCCTCTAACTTCACAGATGTATTTTGTAACAACGAACATGTGAAGACATATATAGTAAGGAGACTTTTAAGGTTACTTAATTTGCAAATATGATGTGCTATAGTCTCAACCCGTTCACCCACTCCCTGCTGTAGAGCTTTGGGCATTTATAGAAGAGTTACATGTAGCCATTTGTTCTGTTGAAACCCATTTACTTCATTTACACTGTGTCATCTGCTTTGGTGGATGGATCTGCTGGCCTCTACAGGAAAAATGTTTCATTGATATGCAAGGCAGATGCGAGGAAAAAAGCATCAGACTAAATGAGATGAAATGAACACTACCGCACAACTCTGCACAACAGCTCTTTAAGCCGTGATCCTAAAATCAAGAGTTCTCCCAAGCTGGCCAGCAAACAGGTACGTTATTTTGGAGGTCTCCATTACCCATCTGCCCTGTTCCGATAGCGCTCTTTTGGCCTGCAGTTTTTACAGATGCTCTTTTTTACCTAATGAAAAGACACTGTGGCATACTGATGTCATAGCTGAAAAGAAAAAATGAGGAAAAAAAGCACAAACAAGCAGCCAACACTACAGATGGAATCCCGCAGGGGGCTTACTCGGGTATCTGCCTCGCTACCAGGCGGTGTTTTCCTCAGCACGCTAACGAGCCTCGTGCTCGTTAATTGCGGCAGAGCCTGCCCCCTGGGCTGTGCTGGTGCAATTTAAGGCCTGGGTTAGAAGTTAAACAGAGGCGCCAGCCTGTGAGGCTGAGCGGCCAAACCCCCGCTAGGAACCCGCGGCGCCATGGCCCCCAGCCCCTCAGGCCGACCCGAGGCTCCCCGCCCCGGCCGCCCACCTTCGCCTTGCGCCGGCCGCCCCGCTCCGTCCTGCTCCTCTTCCGAGCCGCCTCCAGTCCCTCCGCGGTGCCATCAGCTTCGGCGGGCCTCTTGCAGGCGTTCCCGCAGCCGCTGCCGGCCATGGCCCCGCTCCGGGCCGCGGGAGCCTTCCTCAGGGCCGGCCCCGCCCCGCGGACCCCGCTCCGCCCCGCTCCGCCCGCGGCCCGGCGGGAAGCTCGAAATGGCGGCCGGCGGCCTGCGCTGAGGCGGGGATGGCCACCAAGCGCCTGGCCAGGTGCGGGCCCCGAGGGGGCCGGGAGGGGAGGCCGGGAGCGGGTCGAGGCGAGGTGAGGCGGGTGCTGAGGGAGCCCGGTGCCGCCCGCAGGCAGCTGGGGCTGGCGAGGAGCAGCGGGCGGGCGCAGAGCGGAGCGGCGGTGGCGGCGGAGCAGCGCTTCGGGCACCTGGTGGTCGTGGACCTGGAGGCCACCTGCTGGCGGGGCGAGCGGCGCCACAGCCCCGAGATCAGTGAGTGGCGGCCCAGCGGGCCCTTGGCGCCTGGTCGACCTCCGCTGACGGCTCGGCCCGTGTGTACGCGGACGGAATGACCTCCGCGAGCAGCTTTAACCTTTCTGGCCTGTTCCTTCCCCGTCTCGTTCTGGTTTTGTCGCAGTTGAATTTCCAGCAGTCCTGCTGAACACCGCCACCGGAGAGATCGAAGCGGAGTTCCACACCTATGTCCAGCCCCAGGAGCATCCTGTGCTCTCCGAGTTCTGTACGGAGCTGACCGGCATAACGCAGGTGTAGTGCTGTTCTGTGTGAAGTTAAAATTGCCGCTTACTACTATTTTGTGGAGACCTTTAAAGAGGGCTAAGGAGAAATAAGCCTCAAATGAATTCCAGTCCGTATTAACACACACATCTCTTCTTCTCTTTCATAAAGAATCAAGTCGATGAAGGGGTCCCTCTAAACATTTGTTTATCACAGTTTTTGAAATGGATTCAAAAGATAAAACAGGAGAAGAAAATTGTATTCAGTTCAGATACTCCAAGTAATTCTATTTCAGAAGCAAAACCATGTACGTTTGTCACTTGGACAGGTAGGCAGAATTTTCATTTAATTTTTCTGCAAATTAATACCCATTAAAACTGAACATTTGGTGGTGCTAGTAAGATTGCATATTCACTGCTAGGGAGTTAAAATCCTGATAAATATTAGGGATATGATATCGGATAAGACTGAAAATATGAATACTGTTGAATTCTGACTTGTTCACTCTATATTTGTCTCCAGGGTCATCACATTTTTCTGCTTTACACAGAGTGCAATGTGTTGCCATTCTCAACAAGTGTAAATGATTTAGTGAGGTCTCCAAGATATTTATGTATCACAAAGTCATTGTTTACTAAGAGCATGCACTCACTTGTCATCTTGAACCATTGCAGCAACCCAAGTGCTTCTCATGTACAAAGGCTTCATGTGTCCTGTACCCATCTGTACAGGATGTTACTAGTATGTTGATTCATCTCTTTATGTTGGTTTTAAGGCATGCTTAGGACAGTTATGGAAGTACAGCAGTACCGGCGACCTGCCCAATTAAACATCTGTGCTCATTATCTAGAGTTATCATGCAAACAGTTGCATTTTTTCTTGCTAATTTTTTTTTGTAACCCCTAGTCCATTCAGATGAGAGAAAGGCCTAATTGGAAGGCATCAGGATTAAAAAATATAGTGAGTCTTCATTTGGTTTTGCTTTTTCTGTGCAGACTGGGACCTGGGTGTGTGCTTGCAGTATGAGTGTAAAAGGAAGCAGTTGCGAAAACCTGACATCTTAAATTCCTGGATTGATCTCAAAGCAACATATAAGGTGAGAAAAATCAATAGACTGACACGCTTATACCCATGTTACCATCTCAAAGGCCAAGTATACCTAAACCAATAGTGTATGTTCCAGCATCTAGTTACTCCTTTGTTTTCTTTCTGTGTTATCACTCAATAATGAATTGCATGCTCTAGAACGGCATGAATTTTAACAGTCTTAATGCTTGGAAAAGTATTGAGTGTTTCTGTTACATAAATGAATGATAATCCCAGAAGATTTTTTTGAGCTCCTCTTCCTTTCCTGACATCTTTTACTCTGATTGCTGCCTTAACTTGTTTTTCTTATGTTCTTCTTACTGCTTTACACTGCTGCATGGAAAATAGTGATCCTCATCTGTTTAGAAACTTTGACCAGAAAGTATATATATATACACACATGAATATAAATGAATATATATATATATATACACACACACATATAAAATATGTATATAAAATGCATTTATACTGAGAAAATGAAAAGCTTTGTGTATGTGTGTGTTGGTGGGATTTTTTGGCTCATTTTTTCATAGTCTACATTGCAACAGAGTTCTGCCTTAGGGACTAATGGCACCTGGGTTCCCCTGTGTAGCCAGGGAAGCTCTCAAAGGTTTATCCAGGAGTCTACCTGTCCACTGATACTTGGAGTTTAAGCAGCGGAATTAAGTCTCTGAAGATAAGCAGGGCATTCATATGAGAAACAGGGATTATTAAATGAGAAAAAGTATTATATTTGGCACATACGTAAACTCTTTTTAATGCTTATGCCTTTGCAATGCATAACAGTTTAAATGTTCAAGATAGTATTTATAATTGTATTCCTCAAGGCTGTTGTTAAGGCCTTCATCAACGCAAACCATAAAGTGCAAATGAAGGTAAAATGAGGTAAGATAGAATGGATTAGTTTAAGGCTGGGAGAAGGGATTTATGGTTCTTTCCATTCTAATCTGTTACAGGGTAAGTCACATACTGAGTTACACTTGTCTTCATTTTACAGTTGTGATAAATATTTGGCCTTGTGAGATGTACTATTTGTAAGGTGATATTTCTGAACTGTTTTTCACTCCACTGTGAAGGGGTTTTGAAATGTTTTTTTATTAACCACCTGCATGTTTTTCCCTAGGCCTTCTATAATAGAAAGCCTAAAGGACTAAATGGTGCTTTGCAGGATTTGGGGCTAACTTTTGTAGGACGGGAACATTCTGGTAAGCATGATATGATCATCCTCATTTTAACATACATACATATCTTTTATAAGACTAGATAGCTACTGTTTAGCTTTAGTTAGGTAAACTAAACTAGCTAGTAATGTCTACTAGTTAATATAAATGTTACTGTTAATTCCAGGCTATGTGATGTTCTGTTCAACAAAACCATCAAAGTAAGAAAAGACAGATTCTTCAAAGATCATTTTGTCATTTCTAACCTCATGCTTTGTTTCAGAAATCTTTCCTAGATCTTTTGCCTGTATGTTGCACAAGATCAAGCTCTGGATTGCTAGGGTACAAAAGAAAAAAGAGCATGGGAAAGATAAGAAAACTTGATCTTCCCTGATAGGTCCGGACAGCTTATTAGTGTAAGAGAATACCAGTGCAATGTGATTTTTTTTACTTATTTTTTTGACCTAACTAATACAACTGAACATGGATTTTGATCGTTATGGCTATATATTCAGCTGTATGGGTTGTTCCTTCAGATGTTTCAGCACAGGAGATTATTTTTTTTTTCTTTTTAACTTCCACTGCCCTTTTCTGAACTATATAACAGTGTCAGAATTATGTGAATCCATTTCATTTATGTAAGATGTACCTAAATGTCACTTTTCCTCTAATAAGAACCATCCCCAGTAGTAGTTTAAAAGGAAGGCATTAATATAACCATGCTTTTGAAGGGTTGGATGATTCTCGGAATACTGCCCGTCTTGCTTGGAGGATGATTTGTGATGGATGTGTGTTGAAAATTACTAAATCTTTGGATAAGGTTAGTAACTATTTCGTATCTATCCTCCTACTTGTCTTACAGCCTGAAATACAGATGAAAGGTGAGCTATAACAAAACCAGTATCTTGACTATGAATAATAATCATATCCATAAGCTGACACGCTTACTAGTTTTGTACATTGATTTCTAAAACTACTTGAGTATTCACTCTCCAAAATCTCTTTTGATATATGGACTCCCTAGGCATATCTGAAGAAGAATTTAATCTCTAGAACACTGAACGCAAACTTCGCTGACAAGACTCCACTGGGAACTAACAGCAGACCTGAGACATCTAGAGAGAGAACTTGTAAAACAAACTCTCTGGCAGAGAAAAACCACAACAGTATTGCAGGATTTATCATAAATTCTAATGTACAAACTGAAGAACAACAGACCACTTGTACTGATTCCTCTGCAGACATCCATGTTGCATCTAGCAGCAGCTTGAGGACTGACTTAAACAATCAAGCCCAAAGCTCTTTGTCAGTGTCTACTGACGGATTTCCTCTTCCTCTTAGACATGTGCAGCAATCTCACAGTAATTTATCAACAGGCATTCAGCAAGGATTGAACAACGGGCATATTATGGGTACAACCAGATACAGCCCAGTACATGAATCAGGACTAGTACTTGTCTCCACTACCATCTCCTCAGTTAACATCTCCACTGAGGATATCAGTACTAGTTCTGACTGTTTACCTCTGCTGGCTGACTGGGAAGATGTAGCTTTAATACCAGAATCTCAATCTGAACAAAAATCAGACTGTGTTGAATTTAAAGATGGCTCAAGTATGGATATTTTAACAGTGTTTGAAGAAGAAACAATTCCAAAGCAATCAGCTGTGATGAGTTCAAATAATCAAAGTTCAGGGAAAAGTGTTGTACCTGTGGAATCTCTCAAATCTATCATTTACAAAAGTCCTGATACTACTATCTATAATGTAGGAACAGTACAAGGGCAGACTTCAAATCTTTCAGCTTTTAAGTTACCATCTGCAAAGGTAAATGCTATTTCATCACAATCAAAATCATTGAAAAATTATTCCACTCCTTTTGAGGTTCCTAAAAGAAAGCCAACTAGTCCAAAAATGTTCCCACCAGCAAAGAAACGGTCTTTCTCTATATATCAAGAAAAAAATGCATCTTTTGATCATTCCTTACCTTTAAGAAGTTCAAACTTGTCCAAAGTATCTCATACCATTCTGAACTCCACAGTCAATCTGAATCAGCCTGTAACAGCTGTGAAAAATGAAAAACCAACTCCCCCTCTGTGTAACTGTGGTCGAAGAGCTAAAAGGCTTTATGTATCAAATGCTGGTCCAAATCATGGCAAAGCGTTTTTTTGTTGTCCTGTTGGTAAGCATAACAGTAATAAGAAAGGTTGTGGATACTTCAAGTGGGAAAATGCCTTTCTAAAAGAGAAAACTAATGTTCTCACCCTGAATGCAGGTGCCTCGACCTCTCTTGGAACTTGCCCCAGTACTTTAGGAAGTTCTTCCAACAAAAACCGTTTGTTCCTTAGGCCATCTATGAGAACTTGACATTTTACTTTTGTTTTTTTTTTTTGGTCTGAATCTTTAATCATTAGTTAACCACGCTTAATATAACCAGAACAGTCTAATGATGTCAGATGTTTTCATCCCATTCTCAGAACATGACATTGCTTGGTTAATGTGGATAAAAATTGAAAATGCTCAAGCATACAGTAATATTCATATATTATAAACTATATCATTGATGCAGTGTGAGAGAACAGAAAAAAGTAAATGCTAAGATTAGTATAAGCAGCTATTAATTATACTGTATCATGTATTTTAAATTCTTTGCTAGTCTAGTCCTCAACACTTTAATGATGTAGATTTTATTTGCACTATTTTTTCTAAATATACTTTCAGTGATTATAACTTTGAAAATGTATTTATAAGTTATCACACTTTTCAAAAGTGATTCTTGAAACAAGCGTTCTTTTAAACTCTTTTTTAAATTGAGTAACAATAAAGATAAAATGCCAGTGACATTTCAGTTTATTTAATGCATCTATTGTACTCTTGACTACATGAATTTTCCACTTCATTTGTATCAGTCTGCCTGCTTTTGTACTATTAGCTATTAGTGTAGCACCAGGGACAGCCAAATGCTGGGGATCAGGTAAGAATTTAAGAGTTGGACATGATGACCTTAGAGGTCTTTTCCAACCTAAATGATTCTATGAATTTATAAAATCCTAAACTAAGAAGGCCATAGTCTTTTACTCTACATTACTGTATAAATCAGCATTATCTTTTGTTTAAAAACAAAAAACTGACTCTATAAAAGAACTCTACTATTTTCTCCACTCCTTCTGGCGTAGTTCATTCCTTCGAATCTTCCCACTAACAGTTTTTGGCAACTCTTGAACAAACTCCATCTAATGGGAAAGGGAAGAAATTGCAACACAAAATAAGATACAGTTTACCTGAATTTTGACTTACTTAATCTCAGCAGCACAGCCTTATAAGCCATATTATAGTTGATACCTGCTATCAAATAATTCACTACCTGCTACTGAAAAATATTTAAAATATTGGGGTAATTGAAGACTTACCTTCCTAGGATACTTGTATGGAGCAGTAACTTTCTTAACGTGGTCCTGTAGCTCTTTTATCACTTCTTCTGGATCATGTGAAACATATTCAGGTGTTAAAACCACGAAGGCTTTCACTACCTTAAAGTTAAAGGAACAATGGGTTAACTGCCAATGAAACACAGCACAACAGTAAGATTTGAAACATTAACCAAACACTTGCTGACAAAACATAGAACAATGTATAGGGCAGATACGAGCAGCTTTGCCAGCGTCTGCACATGCTCTATTTTTATGGACCAGAACTAATTTATATACATTTACTAAAGACCCATAATTTTAAGTATTTGAATGTTAAGAAAAAATTTCAAATGGTGTTTTTGTTATATTGGATATTGGGGCACCTGTCTCAGTCAGTTTTTCCGGCACAGAGGGATAGATGGCTGATAGAGTAGAAATGCCAATTCGAGTTTATTTAGTTTAAAAATTAATCACTTGGCAGACAAATCCAGTGGAAGTTGGGTTTCGTCAGCTCTGGTATGCACAAAGCTACTTTTAGATATAAGCTCATTTAATGTGTTTACCTCTCCCCTGATGGGGTCTGGGCTGCTGACTACTGCTGATTCCACCACTGCGGGATGCTCTATTAGGGCACTTTCTACTTCAAATGGTCCAATACGGTATCTTTAAAATGAAAGGTCTTTTTGAAACACACATTTGAAATACACATACTATCACACCTAAATCAGCTGTATTGTTCAAGTTTGAAGATGTATTATTAATCAGTTAAATTACCCAGCAGAAGTAATGACATCATCAGATCTTCCAACAAACCAGTAGTATCCATCTTCATCCATAATCCCCCTGTCTCCAGTGACATAAAAATCCCCACGTATTGTTGCCGCTGTTTTCTCTGGATCATCCTAGTAAGCACAAAATTGTATTTTATATAAAAACAGCTTGAAAAATACATTACATTGCATTCTAACATATTCAGTATATAAGTTGCGGTAAAGCCAAATGTTCATAGATTTCAGCTTTTTAGACTGGTCCATATCATTATCTGCATCAAATTCAAGTGGGACACAACTAATGGTGAATTATAATAAACATTTACCATTACTAATCCACACAACTAAATCCGTCAAAGTTTTCCCTTTTTATTAAGGAAATAACAAGCAAAAGAAAGTGGATTTTAACTTGTTAGGCAAGACACTCGTTGAACAACTAATTGTGTAAGTAGACTAAATAACTGCATAAAAAAATGGAAATTCCTCTTTCCTCCCCACAGGCTTTTATCCTTCTAAGTAAAGAATATGTACAGGAAATGAGGCATCAAATTACTTGTTACAGAGATTTAACAGGACATCTACTTTAACTGTAGTAGGGTTCTTACAGTATAGCAAGTAAAAAGAAAAGGCGGTCTCGTAGGTTTTACTCTGATGGCAATATCTCCTTCTTTTCCAGGAGACAGAATATTACCGTTTTCATCTATAATCTGAAAATAAACAAAACACTGTTTTATTATCTTGCACTCAAACTAGAAAACATTAAATTAAGATTATAGAATCTTAGTACTCATTTAAAGTATTTAGTCGAAATATGTCCTGGAAAATAATTCGGAGCAGTAGAGGACAGGTCTTACCCTGACAATTCAAGTGTAAGATCACTGCAAATCCACTGTATTTCACACTGGGTCTTTTATCTGAGGAATTCCAAATACTGTGCAAACATGTATTGAAGTTAGTAAGACCCCAGAGGACGATAAGTAATGGGGTGGGAAAACCTTAAGAACTGAAAGATACTAAAATCTTAAACAATATTGCTAACTGATCTACTGCTAGAATCTGAATCAACAGTTTTGTTATCACCAGGAAACACCATTCACTCCCACTCTTCCTTAACTCAGTAATTTAAATTCTGTCATTGCCTTAGCATTTGATATTTAACCACCAGTTATCAGTAGGTTGTCATCTATGTAATGCTGTTGAGGTTGATACAACAGGGAGGTTTAGATGCTCACTTTGCACATTCAGTTTGGGACATTTCTTTTTCACTCTTATTTCCTGTTGTATGATGCTACATAGTACAACTCCATGTTAAAGCTTTCAAACCTCTTTCATAGAAAATGATTACTGAGAGAGCGACAGTGCCACCAGAGGTACAATACCTTGACATCATACGTTGGAGATGGTTTTCCCATAGAACCAGGCTTAATTTTCATTCCCTTAAAATTTGCACAGATCAGCACCTGTAACAAATGTGTTTGTTTTTCTTTTCTTAAATGACAACTTGTACATTCAGTCTTTAACTTAGGTTTAAAATACTCAGCTAACATTGCAAATTTCTATAAGAAATAATAACAGTCCTCATTATAATCATATATCCTATGATTAAACTTCTAGAAATAAAGTACACCCTTAATATCTTGCCCACAGCTCCAAACAATGCCAGTGAATGTTCTAAAGATAGCTTTTAAAGCAGAATTTGGAATGCAGTAATGAGGAATATACCTCTTTTGTGTTAGTTCTCAATTCAAAGCTCACAAGAATGAGTAACAGTGGTTGGATTTTGGGTGAAGACGTTAAAATCGTTCTAGGACTTAAAAAAAAAAAACAACAAAACACTACATTTTTCTACTGTTGCCTATAACAATTGACTTTGTTGTGACAGTTGTGATGAATCCATGTTGTTGGAATGTGCTGAAGGGATGAGGAGTATGTAAACCAAATACAACTGTGTAATCTTTCTAATCACTTTTTCTTGGCAACCTGAGTGGAATTTATTGTTTTATCTGTAAAGTATAATTTTTCATCTGTAAAGCTGTACATACTGTTTCTGTCTGTCCATAGCCTTCATGAATATCCAGCCCAGTCTGCACTTTCCATTCTTCCATCACATCGGGGTTGATTGGCTCCCCAGCACTCACACAGTGACGCAGGCTTTTGAATGTATAGCTTGATGGGAAAAAGAAATTAAATAACTGGCAGTTATCTATCTGTTACACCCCATTCAATACTCTGTTTTGGTATTGTGGGAACTTTTCTACACAAAAATACAAATTTTACTGAGATCTATTAATTCTATTTGAACTGTGTAGCATTGAACAGAAACAAATCTGAAAAAAAAGCAAACAAAAATGAAAAACACCTGTTTTACTTCTGTATTATTTGAAAATCTACTAATATCATGTTTCTAACCCTAGAATCTCAACTAGAGTCTAAACTGAAGAGGATTGATGAAATTCAACACTAACGACAAAAAAAAAAAGAAAAAAAACACAGGAGATTTAAATGAAGCCGAAGAGTTTTTCATGCATTTCACCAAGCTGTACTGACATACATTTCTTGTAGTGGGGAAACACAGTAGAAAAACAAAGGGAAGGAGAATGTGACTATAAAAGCACTTTGGAGGATATGTTAAGCATGATACCATGATTATCTTATTATAGCTTCAGCTAAACTGCATTTCACTGTTATTCATGAAATCTGAGGTGGCACCCTGACTCTTTCTGACTTTCTTCATCACACATAAGACTCAAGATGTTGAGAAATACAGTCAGAGTTACTGTTACACCATTGTAAATTTGGAATAAAATCAAGGTGAGCTGAGCACTTGGTTCATTGTTTTGATCAAATCCACCACTAGAGGTACTCTGTTTTTTCTTACCTGGACAGTTTATGTTGCACAAACATTCGATATGCGGTTGGAGGAGAACAGAAGACAGTTATGGGGTATCTTGACAGACACTAGAGAATTTAGAACAAGGAAAGTGAATGTTGCCAATACAATGAAACCTATGAAGTCTCATCTACGTTATAAGACATAGTGTAATCTCTGTCTATATCAAGCTTATAAAACACGTGGACAAAATGTTAGTGTCCAAAAAAAAAGTTAGCTCTGCAGTTGCCAACACCGACATATAGCAGTTTTATCTAACTAGTTTCTTCTTCAAAACAGAATCTACATCATCTTACAGTTAATTCACCACACCAGAATTTTGTGCTCTTGAAAGCCTTGCAGTCCTTGTTGCAGAATTTCTTCATAACTTAAGTTTAAGTAGAAACCAAGTGAAACCATAAGGCTACTCTGAGATATTCTATAGGAGTAAAACCAAGTGTTATTCAACACAGCCTAATGTTATCTAACAGTTTCCAGCCATCTAAGTAAAATAAATATGATGAAGGTAGTCTTTTTCAAGGGATGAAGGGTTGTGTGTGGAGGATGTAGGACAATATAATGTTGATGCCATTTGTTAAAGAAATTCAGCCTTGCTGCATCTTCACTCCTTAACATGGGATTACTTGGTGCAGGCAACTGAAATTCTCATTTATCTGTTATTATCACTTATTTTAATAACAACACCAAGTGCTCTGCAAATCCCAGTCCAATTTCTTTTGTGCTTCTTTCATGCCTTAGAAAGAATGTTTGCGAGTTTGTGTAGTAAAACCTGTTTTCAGCAGACTATATGATTAAACTGTTCGAATGTCAATTGTGCTTTTATTTATTTGCAGCACTTAATACTGAAATAATGATTCAATATTACTGTTGTGCTGCATGTTGCCCCCTTTGCAGCACCACGGGAAATGAAAGCTTTGACAAGACCAGCAAGCAAGAACAATGCTGTTTGTTGCTGGGCCCTCCTCACTTACCTCAAAGACAGTAATTGGGTTGAATTGTGGCATTTTATGTACAAATACACATGCCCCTTGAATCCACGTTGATATACTAGCCCAAGATGCCTTTGCCCAGCCCGTGTCTGATGTGCTCCAAATTACGTCTGAATGAGTCAAGTCCAGCCAGTACCTGGTAACACAAGGAAACATGATTCACAATCTGTATTTGGCAGGAAAAAAGACAAGTATTAAAACATCAACACAAGATATGTCATGGAGTCACATCCAGCACTGCTTGTCTTGGGTAAATGACACTTAAAAATGGCTGAATTTCTGAGCACAACTGAGCACAGTGAGGATGTCATCAGAACAGACTGATGTTGCATTTTTCTAAAGGAAGTTATACTGATGGATCTCCTGATTTGTTATTCCTTGCCAGTTTCAGTGAAGTGTACCGCCATATCAATTTTAAAAACAACATTGCTTTATAAATGTAAAGATTCTGAACTATCAGCATTTTGTTCCTGTGGGAGTTGCATCTAATCTAGACGTGTGTGAGTTCAGAAACCTCACAGCCACATTTTTTTCTCTTTTATGACACAGACCTTATAAACTTGTGCGGATGTTCAGTTTGGGGTAGTCTGTTAACCGTACACAATGAAGAGGTTATCAAAAGTTAAAGAAAATACTAAAAAGTAATTTAAGGCCATTTGAAGGCTACATTCTATATATACTGCCTGGACTCAAAGTATGACTTGCTTACCAGGAAAAACAAACAAACAAGCCTTGTTCAAATTTAACAGAATGATTGTTTTTTAAAAAGTGAAACAAAGGCTTCTGGAGAAAAACCTTGTGTTTCCTCTTCCTTCTGCCATGTGAGCAGCTACACAAACATGTCTGTCAAAGCAATATCCATACCTCGCATTTACTGTGAAGCCAATACCATAGCTGCTGTGGGAATGTTCAGTCATTTTGGGGGATCCTGTAGTTCCACTGGTAAAATAGATGGCCATTGGATCATGATGCTTTGTGGTCACACACTGGTGATTAGAAGGAGCATTTCTTTAAAACAAGCAAAGCAATGAATAAAGTGATTTGAAAGTGTGACTTACATGCTCTTAAAAATGTTTAACTAAAATAAGTTTTGCAGCAATCAGAAACATCAAAAACACTGACATTTTTCCATTTCATTGCCCTAGAAGGATAGGAACATGTTGGCATGTGCCAGCATTTCCTATTCAAAACAAACTAACATGTTTTTATTTTTGCTGTGGCACTGTCACAGCTGTGGTTACTCACTTCAGGAGATCTTTAAAGTTCAGCCATCCTTCTCTGTGGCCCTCTGACACAAGCAACTTGCATTTCAGAGACTGGCATTCAGCCCCAACTGAATCTACAGCTGGTGCCACAAAATCATCAGTGATGATGCACTTTGCCTTGGATTTCTGTAGTCGATAGAGAATATCCTTCACTGTCAACTGCTGCGTGCCAGGAATCAGGACATTTCCTAAAGAGGAGGAAGTAAAACGGAAAAACAGCTGAAACGTTTTATAATAATAGTTGTACCTACAAGCAGACATCAGCTTACCTAGTGCTTTTGAGTGAGACAAGGCAGTATTACAGCAGGATTTGGCCCTGCATTCATAAATACACTGATTTATTTGATGGATTAAATTGTATGTGAGGATGGATTAAATTCTAATTTAGCCAATACTAGGCTGATCACAGGACACTAACAGAAATCAACAGAACAACTTTTTTTGTTTTGAAAACACCTCAACTGGACCATGCCATCTCTCTGGACTTAATTTCTTTACTGGTAGACAGAGCTGTACCCTGCTAGTGTTTGTGAGGCACCAAGACATTCTGGGATGTAATTTCTGGCAAGCTGAGTATTTAACAGATCCCACAGGGAAACACATGAAACACTTGGTTAAGTGTGGGCTAATTTCACTGCAAGTTTGAAGGAAGGTGCATTTGTGATTCATCATAAGTGGTGGAAAGAGAATGAGAGAGGCACATGGACTCATAGGGTTTCCTTAACAGATAGAGCACGTGCAGAAGTCCTAAAAGTATCACAAAGATAAACTTGGCATGAAGGATGTTCTTGATCAGTGTGGCAATAGTTCATCTTCAACAGCATATTTGTAGTTTTGATTGTGTTAAAAAGCAAGGATTGGTTTAAGTCATAATTTCTATACCTCTGTGGTATGTGTGCTTTTACCAACCTGTTCTCAAGCAAGCCACATTCACCAGCCACCATTCTGGGATCCGGGGCAGAATGAGAAGAACTCTGTCTCCCCGTTGCAGACCGCAAGCATCGGAGAGTACATTAGCTACTTTCCTGGAAAGGACTCCCAGCTCCTCAAAGCTCCATTTCACCTCTTTTCCATCACCATCTACCCACCACAATGCAGGATTTTTATTTTTTTTCCCTTCCTGTAGAATAAAAGGGTGCAGTGTAAATGGTTCATTTTAGAAACACACTGCCTTTAAGTCTGAGGAAGAGCATTTGCCAGTTACTCATTGCTGGAGAAATCTGGGGATACAATTGAAATCTGCCACTGATTCCAAATGAGGCAAAGAACCCTCCTTTAGGATAAACAGCCTATGAATGTCATTTAAGAAATTAAATTTGTATTCCTTTCCTGAGCTCATCATGTTACACTCTGAAGAGGTTGTACAACTTTTTGTTTCAGGCCATGAAAATAAAGCAGCTGATGAATGTGGGTTCTTTTGGGTTGTGCCCCAGAGCTTCCCAAATCTTCAGAGGTCATTTCCAACTTCATCTGGCATTGGGCCTGTTTGCTAATTCTGAAAATTAAATCACAGGTTCAAGAGCATAGGCCCACACAGTGTGAACTGATGTGTGAAAAGTGAAATGTACGTATACAATGTGTTCTGAAGGGGTCCAATGCATTTAGCAGTAGCACTGTGCAAGACGCTTCTTGAGCAAAACTCTCTGGGGCAAAAAAAAATATGGTTTATTTTTAAATATTTGAAGGTACAGTAACACTAAGGCTCATTTTCAGGAAGCAGATTTTAGCTGTGCACTTCAGAGGGCACCAGATGTTGTTTCTTTCTCCATTAACAGCCTGCCAAAATCTGTTTTTCCTGCAAAAGGAACAATTGCTCCCTTTGTGTCAGATAGGTGACACTCTACTCTGTTCCTGCTGCCAGGTGGACATAACTACGTTTAGACTCTCATCATGAAGAACCTGAGTCTGCAAAACCAGTCCTACATCCTCAGACTCGAGTTACGTAACAGGATAAGTGATAGACCTATACTTTCTTTTTTCTCCCTGTATTTCCTTTCCTTGTTTAGACCTCATGTCTATTTGGGCACTCAGTTTTCAGTTCTGTAGATATAAGGTCCCTGATGCAATGATTTTTCATTTGGGAAAAAAATTGAGAGGTTAGACGTTACACAGTATTATTCATTTTGTAGGCAGGCAATGAAATATATGGAGGTCAAGTGATTTGGCCAGCACAAACAGACAGGGTGCATGTCACAGCTGATTGTGGAACTAATGTGTGGTTTAAAGTGGTAAAAAGTCCATTGTCTCATTCTTGAAGCACCTGCTTACAGTTATTCTCACTGGAGTTACTGATTAAAAAAATGAACCACTTGGACTCATGGGCAGGACAGCATGTGGCCGAAGGGATCTACAGATTCAAAGTGCATGAGATGATCATCAGATTATAATCAAGAGCATAATTCCAGTTACTGGATTTGGTTACTGGATTTGTCACTGACAGCATTAAGTACTACAGCATCTGAGAAGCCACGGAAATGTTACCTTTTCTATTTTAGTCCATCTGTCCAGCACATCGCTTGCAAAGTTGAAGTACTCTGGCACCTCTAGTCTGCACTGTTGTTTTATAGCCTCATAACTGAAAGAGGTGGAAACTGTGTAGCTCTGGCTGCAAAGCTGGAGAGATTTTCTCAGGGCAGCACGTAGGGATATAGCACTCGGGACCTTCAGTAGAAAATGCATGGCAGCAACAACGGCTATAGCCTCTCCAAGAAATTCTGCAGTAACACAAATACAAACCTGGTATTAGGCATATGGTTTCAGAACAGCTTTTACCATCACACAGCAAATACACTGGAATAACAATAACTGTTAATTGGAATACCTGCTGAGGACAGCTCTGGTTTTCCCACCGTGTAATCCCTGCTCTCTCCTGACCATCATGCAGTTGAGATCCTGACCACACACTCAAGCAGCAGTACTCAGCCCCATCAGTGTGATAACTTACCTGTTCACATTCCTTCCCTCCCCACAAGCCCTGCTGATCACATTGGTAGACCACATTGCAGTTACCTTATAGAGGCTTTAAGAGCTATAAGGCTTTCAGTGCAGAGAGGCACTGAAAGCTCTTAAACTGTGACTTCTGTAAATGAAATGTCTGCTACTGATTGACAATCCTGCGTTAGTTACTGGCTGACCACAGTGTTACTTAGTACAAAGACATCTGTAGTTTTTCTAGTCTATCAGCACTGGGAATATGCTGTCTGCCAGAAATTAAATCGATGTAGGAAAGCCCTGAGAATAATTTTAGCATTGATGTATTAAATACTATTTTGATGTGTGGTCAGCAAAAAACACCATTTTATGAGATGGAGAAACTTCAAAAGACTCCCCGATGAAGGATCTGAAGTGTAGAGCCATAGTTCTGTAGAATCAACTTAGCAGGAGGGCTGAAAAATCTGAAGTCATTATTTTCATGCATTGTCCACTTTTATTTACAAAATAATATAAACAATGATAATTCCTTACCGAATTAATAATTATCCAGCTGCAAACCCATGTGATTTTAGTGATTCAATTAAGCAAAAAGACTTTTTTTTTCCCAATCTCTAACATTCAGTTTGTGTATGACAAACACAGGAAAGAAACACAGCCAAATGCAAGACGGAGAAGGACAGGGAAAAGAGGGAATGTGGTCAGACAAGCAAATCCGTACTGTTCCAGGGCCAAAAAAGTGCCCTGGCCAGCAGCTTTCCAGGACGGGTGGAGGGTCAGTTACCTTGTGAAAAAGCTGTCAGTCCCAACTTACTGCTTCTTGGCCTTGCATCAAAATGTGAGTCCTCTGAGTATTGAGATGCGTCCCAGCTTTGACTCCTCACACAGATCTCAGACTCTTGGCTGTACACCTGTTCTGGCGCTGTCACTGCATTCAGTGACTTACTCCTGTGTTTGTTACATGTACTTTGGACTCACGTAAAAGGCAGCCAAGTCCTGTCTGTGAGAAGAGCTGACAAATTTCTGCAGAGCTCAAAGAGGAAGTAGAAAGTGAGAGGTTAAAATCTCTCCCGTTTCTTTTTCCTCCCCTACTCCCACTCACCAGCCGCTGGATAAAAACATACTTAAGACCTTGCTGCAACCAAGTCACATCTGTTACATTCTGGATAGGGCAACACAGGGAACAACAGCCTTATGATTAATTAATAGGTTGTGTGAGTACACTGCTGAGCAGGTAGTTTGGGGTACCTCAACAAACCATAGCAGTTCAGCTATGATTGACAGTGAGTATTGATTCCTGGGATGCTGCTGCCCTGACCAACTATGTTAATGTGTATGCTAGAGACTTGCGAGGTTTTCTAAGTGCTCTGCCTCATGTTCAGAGAGCAAACAGTTAAGTTGTGCTCCAGCATTGCTGCTGCCTCTGCTCTGCTCCCACAGGAGAGATGGGATGAAACATTTGCCAACCCCTCTCTGTCCTGGCCGCAGCAAGGCATCACTGCAGAGCCTGTCATCAACGTGGGCATGGCCGTGGCATTGGTACATGCTTTTGCCATCAGCCTCTGCTGCAAGGATGGCACTTGCCAGGGAGGTGGGAGACAGCTGTAGCTTAAATTGAGGCACCAAGATTTTTTTGGTAAGAGTTTGGTTGCTCAAGCCCTAAGTCCTTCCCGCTGCATCTTCATTCTCTAAGGCCAGCAGAGAGATTGCTAACACCCATCAATGTGTTTGGAGCAAAACAGTCCTCTCAGTGCTGATCAGCAAGGGTGGTGCTACAGTCTTACATGGCATGTGCTTTTGTCTGCACTCCCTTCTGGGGTTCAGTGTCAGTCTGTGACAAGTGGACAAAAAGGCGATGTTAACCAGCTTCCTGAAATGTTCATTGCAGCACAAAAAAAAAAAAAAAAAGATTCAAAAGATTCCCCCAAACAACAAAGCTGCTCTCCACCTAGCAGTAAAGAAGGACCTGCAATCTGCAGGAGCAACATTTTAACAAGCTCTTTGAAATGCAAGTGACAAAATCCTTACAGAAGGCAAGGGCCTTAAAGGAATTCCCTACTCAGATTGCATCACCCCAGAGGAGGCACAGAAGTAAACCAAACATGACAGCAACCAGCTTGTGATGTCAGTGAATAAGCCAGGAATACTTTGGAAGAAAAACCTTCCATGGTGACCTAAGTGTAAAAGAAGCATAACTGTTTCTCTGTATTATTCTTTTGATAGGGCATAAAACTATTTCCCTGAGTATGGACAGGTTTTTCCAAACCCCTCGGCACTCCTCACCACCAAAGCACCCTAGTTATGTTCTGTGTGGTGAATTGCATGTCCTCTGCACCACTCACAGCTGCCCGCAGAGATCCTCCCTCCTGCGTCACACTGTCCTGACAGGCCCAGCTCCTCAGACTATTGCTGCAACTCCCCACAACTTTGAGTCTTTCATGCAACCCCAACCCAGCAAAGATTACATGACTTTTATTTTACTTGTGATCAATAATCCCACCAAGGTATAACAATTGCTGAAGAGTTAAATAAGCCTCGAAGACTTTGCAGGAGCAAAGCTTTATATAAAATGTAAACGTCATCTCCTGTTGCAGCTGTGACCGATAAATACATCCATTAATTTATGAACTTTTTCTCCCCTATTTTATCCTATGTGTAAATAACATGACAGTCCTGCCCTTTGTGAGGCCTCCTTAGCTCTGTCCTCTACATACTTTGCAAAATATCTTCATTTTTCTCCTCTTGATTGTCCAAAAAGCTCAAGGGCTAATGGAGGGAGATGAGGCCCTCATGGACAGTAGTACACTGAGGTACCTTCCTTCAGAAACCAACGCTAAGTGGTGTGTATTTTTATTCTGGTAACACATGTTTTGAGTATTTCAAGGCTAAAATTACCTGTATGAGGAGTTTCTGTTCCAGCTGGCCCTGTCACACCATGAAAACTTCAGGAGCTGGACAGGCCACTGAGGAAAGGGCCAAATGGCGGCTGTCCCTTCTGGGGCACACTTGCCTTGTGAAGAAAAAAAAAAAAAGCAGGACTGAAGCCAGCTGGCTCCATCGCTCTTGAGTGGCAGCCAGCCCACTCCCGGGGCCACCTCTCCTCCTAATTCCACAATCATTAACACAAACCAAGCCTTTAATCCCGGGATTAAAGTGGAAACTCAGATAAACTGAGTTTCCAAGCTCAGAAAAAGCAACTTCACTCAGCGCCGGGAGCCCAGGCTGTCCCTCCAGGCCACGACGTTCCCGGGGGATCCGTCCCTCCCGAGGTCAGCCACCCACCCTGCCTTGCTGCCGGGAGCTTTATTTATTTTTCACTCCCGGGAGCACCGCCCGGCCCCTGCAGCCCGGCGCGGGGAGGGCCTGTGGCGGGGCTCGGCCGTGAGGCGGCGCCGCGTGGGGCCCCGGGCGGGGCGGCGCTGACGCCATCGCGGTGCGCGGCGGCGGCGGGGCCGGTGTCGGTGTGTGTGTGTGCCTGTCTGTCGGTCTCTGTGCCGGTCCCGGTCCTAGCCCATGGCCGCGGCGGAGCCGGTGGCGGCGCGGAAGCGGCGGCCCAAGGGGCACTTCGCGGCAGCGAGGGCCAAGCGGCCCCGCGGCAGCGGGCGGCAGCTGGAGGCCGGCATGCGCGGCATCCTCATCACCTGCAACATGAACGAGCGCAAGTGCGTGGGGGAGGCCTACAGCCTGCTCGGCGAGTACGGGGACCTGCTCTACGGCCCCGAGCAGGTGCGTGCGGGCTGCCCCGGCCGTGACGGGCTTTCCCCTCGGCCTGGTGGTGGTAAGGGCCTGCTTGGGGGGGCAGCGGTGCAGCCTTTCTGTCCCTAACAGCACCCCGCAGTGCCCCCCGGGGGTGCTGGCTTCCACAGGTGAAGCCCTGTGTAGCCCCCTGGAGATGCGGCCCCTGGCGGATTTTAAGTTTTTGGCGCTTTTGGCCTGTACTTACTGAAGTAGGGATGTGCTTTGTGTGAACAGTTTTCAGATCCTGAGGAGCGGCTCTCTGGAAGTGAGAAGGAAGAGGATGAGGATGACGTTGAGGCTGCCCTGAAGAAGGAGGTTGACCAGATCCGCACCTCGACAGAGCAGAAGCTGCGGCGGTTCCAGTCGGTGGAAAGTGGTGCCAATAATGTGGTCTTCATCAGGACCCGGGGCATAGGTGGGGCACAGACACTGCACGGTGCTGCTCTGAACAGCATCGGTTACAGGCCACAGTGTGGCTGCCCAGGAGCTCGTGTATGCCAGACAAATAGAGAGTCTCTCCTTCCCTTTAGCCTTCCCATTGAATTCTGTCATAAGCAGAATTGCTAGAAGTTGAGGCATCTGCTTTGACAAAGTGAACCTAAGGCATCCAGTTTTGGTGTATTAAAACAGTTCTCCTCAGAAAATGATTTGAGGCAGACCACAGTGCACCTAAGCATGCATTTTCCTGACGTATTATTAAAAGGGGGGAAGAAGGAAGAAAGTGCCTCCAATTTGTTTCTCATACCTAGCTGTTTTTCTTTTAGAACCTGAGAACCTGGTACACCATATATTAAAGGACATGTATGCCACCAAAAAGAAGAAAACAAGAGTCATTCTGCGCATGCTGCCCATTTCTGGAACTTGCAAGGCTTTTATGGAAGATATGAAAAAATACACGGAAACATTTTTTGAGCCCTGGTTTAAAGCCCCTAATAAGGGTACTTTTCAGATTGTTTACAAAGCTCGTAATAACAGTCATATGAGTAGGGAAGAAGTAATTAAAGAATTGGCAGGTATGTATTGATTTCACACAGAACAAAAAACAAGTTTAGAAGCAGCCAATAATTGTGTGGATAACAGCATAGCATAAGTCAGACTACTAAAAGAAAAGTGGTCTAAATGGGCATACATATTTGTTGTTTAAAATCTATATGTTGAATTACAGAGACTTCTCTATGACTGTGAATACAGCTTGATATCAGTGTGCCTTGTTAGTGTTGATGTCTTAAAAGATCATGAGCAGAATAGCGTACAGTATTGAATTTACTTTGGTGTGTTAGTTTCGCATACTTTGGAAGGGCTGCTATCAGGCATTTTGAATGCTATATTGCTAATTTGAATGTTATATTGAAATAAGATATTGCTAATTCAATTGAACATACGACTCAAAAAATAGCTCTGCCTTACTCAGGTGTTTTGTTTCTTGATAATTGCAATGGGTTAATTTTCCAGTTACTGCAGTCCTACTGATAGTATCCTCTAATAGTTGTACTCTGTTCTGCTATTTTAAACAACTGCAATAAATAGCAGTTGGTTACAATTAGGGGGGATGTTGTCTTCCCTAATTTTTATCCTTTTAGTAGTGTATGCTGATGCTCTGAAACCATTTTTCCATCATAAAAAAAAAAAAAACAACAAAACTATATCTTGTTTTTACAGGAATTGTGGGCAGCCTCAATCCAGAAAACAAAGTTGATCTTAACAACCCACAGTATACAATTGTGGTGGAAATAATAAAGAATGTCTGTTGCTTGAGTGTGGTGAGAGACTATGTTCTATTCAGAAAATACAATCTACAAGAGGTAGTGAAGAGCAACAAAGAAGATGCACAACAAAACCCATCAACCGTGACAGAAGAACAGAACTTGACGGTAGTAAAACCAGAAACCGAAGAGGAAAAGAGCTCAGAAGTAAAACAAGAGAATAAGAGTGAAGGTGAAATACAAGCTGAGTCCAAGGGGAATGATACGCTGACAGTGTAGAAAATGTAGAAAGATCAACACGATGGAAACCTATTAAAAATGTTGCCCTAGAGTTCTGTCAGTGTGTTTTAAGGAGGAGAGTGGGTTTTGTTTTGAAATCTTGGTTTTAAAATCCATATGTGTAAGAATTTTAATGTTCACTGCAGGTGGAGCTGACTTTATACTGCAGATGTGAGAGTGCTTCACCACTGGTGAAGTTTGCTGTCATTCTTCTACAGCTTGGTTCTGCATTGCTTTTTGTTAGCACAGAAGGCAGGTGTATTTGCATACATAGATAAATGCCACCAACCCAACACATATTGACCCTGTTTTGTTGTATCTGATGACTACAGAAATGAAAGGCAGTGCAGAATCAACTCTGTCAGGAAGTATTGACAGAAGTGAGAAAAAAGAAGAGGGTTGCTTGCAGAGAGTTTCTAGGGAAGTGATCTGACCATTTGTGTGACTGCAGAACTCATATATTTTTCTATGTGAACAGCAGAATGAGCTGATCCTTTCCTGTATGAGGGAAGGTTGTAAATATACATCCCTCTACAAGGACATGCAAAGTCTTGAAAGTGTATTGGAAGAGCCGCTATGATCAAAATACTTGAATACTATGAGAGAATTTAGAATAATAGATTTGACTGTTCTACAACAGTAGAAGTATGGTGCAGGCATTGCAGATGGCTTTAGCAAGAGCTACATGTGTGTTTACATTAGCTGTGTATACAGCAATTACTGGCTTATAGCAAATGCTGTATGTGGTCACTGAACAGAATCCTTTCCAGTATTTTCTTGCAAACAGACTTTTGCTGCTCTTTCCAAAGACATAATCTTTGGGGTGGGGGGGGGAGGGAATACTGGGAGGGGGTTTTAGAAGTCTTTGTTCTTACTGTTTTCTTAAGTTTCAAAAATTTGGATTTAAAAACTGCTTGGAAATTTTTAATGAAAGAAGCTCTCCATGATACCATATTGGATAAGGGGAAATAAATTTAATTTTTGATACAGTTTTAGCTTTACAACGTTTATTTTGTTTCATATTGAATGTAATGTCAGTTTTTCTGTTGTCAGTTTGTTAAAGCAGTTCTTCTGATATCACAGTGACTGGGGAAAAAATCAAACAAAAACCAACAACCAAAAACCACAGCTATAACCTACTTTACATTAGCATTTGGAGTATGCTTCCAGTACAACTGTCTAGCTTTAGTATTTCATTTCTAGTATAAAAGCCTGCGGGTTGCTAATGGCAAAAGCCTGTCTTGTTACTTGTCTTGGTTTAATGAAAAGGATTTGTTCAAATCAAAACTGTTTAGTTTGTATTTTCCACTTCTGTCAAAACTGTTTTAGAAGTTGGAAAATTAAGAGGACTTTTTCCCTAGTCCTGTATACCTTACCACCCATTTATTAAAAATAGGCTTTCTTACCTGCATCAGTGTTTTCCTTTATGTTTTAAAGCTTTTTGTGTGTGGATTAAAACCAGCACTGTCTAGGTCACACCTAGGAAAGAACCATTAGAGACCAGACACAAAGGCCAACTGTGAATGTTTATTGGTGGCTGATGTTGGTCATGTTGATCATGATTCAAGACAGCCTACTCATATTATTACCAAGGACAAAGATAGATTCATGAATAGTGTTTTTTTTTTTTTTTCCTTCTGCCTCTCACTCTTACAAGCCTGTGTCTGACATACAGGTGCCTATGCTGCAGGCTTAGGAGGTCTGCTTTTTTTTTTTTTTTTACTTCTGACATTTTTTTCTTTTCTCTTTTGTAATTTGCCCTTGCTGCACATTCATTTTTAAAACATAAATTCCTGAACCTGGAGGCTTTCGAGATTCATATAAATAGGGTGCTTAATTTGGATATGTGCATGATCTATAGCCATTTCTGGGTATGTTTTCAGCTACTACTATGATTTCCTTATTAATAAACTTCTTGTGAGTTAAGATACCTGGTCTCAAAGTATTAACAGACTGCTCCTTCACGTGGTAATCACTCCTGCCATAATTCTGACAAGTGTTAGGCAGCTGGAAGATGCTGCATTTGTACATGCTTTGCTAGGTATGTTTGATTCTATGATTTTTGTTAAACAAGAATGCAAACGTTTAAGGACCACACAGTTGGGACTTCTTAAACCTTGTGCATTAGTACACATTCACTAATGAGTGAAATACAATCCTATCTTGGTGCTTACAATTGTAATAGAAAATCTCCATTACAAGTGGAATCAATGGGGACAGTTTTTTTAGATTGCTTATCAAAACTAAATCTGTCCCCACTCTTTGTTCCTCAGTTCACTCCGTCTTATTTTCCCAGTGATTGTCTTTGGCAGCTGCTCGACAAATTCAATCTGATTAAAAAGAGGGAAAAAAGTAAAATAAGCGGACTTCATTTATAGTTTTTTGATTCAAAATAACATAGGTTTTCATTCTGTTTAATTTAAATAAGAATTTGGTAACTTGTAGAATAATTCCAGTTTGTTTTTCAGATTCTGTAGTGTCTATTATTTTCCACAATCTTCCTGGAAATAATATTTGTCATTTCTCTTGCACACCACATATTTGGGCTTTTTGGTTTGTTACTAAATTGGATGTTATGAACTGAGTCTAATTTTTCAGTTTCTAGCCTCTCTCCACTTTAAAAAGGTGATTGGGAGTTCTTATTTTATTTTTTTTAATACACTCTTATTTACTTGCCTTTCTGGGGTACTTGTATGGAGCAGTGACTTTCTTTACATGATCTTGCAATTCACAGGCCAGTTTCTTTCGATCTTGTGTCGTAAAGGAAGGAGACAAGACCACAAAAGCTTTTACCACCTACAAAGGGAAAATAAACCAAAAGTACAGCATTAATTAATCTAGAGCAACCTAGCAAATGAGGCAGTTAATTGAGAATAAATGAGTATTGCCTGTAGTATCAGCTTGCTGTTTCACACCTGTCCTGTAAACAAATTTAAAATTCTGACTAAATAATGTTTCTACTTTATGGTAACAAAGTTACTAGATAACACAAGTTTCAAAATCTGCTTCCAAATTTGTTAGAGTTCTGCCAAAGACTGTTATAAAGATCTGAGATGCTGGGGCCTTTTCTGCAAATGTACATTGTTAAATTAAGGAATATAATTCTCCCAGAAGTAGGTGAAAGTGTACAGCAATTCCTACCAGAGTCACTTTTATATCCATAGTCATGTTCATGTTCTTTAACAGACTAACGATTATATTGTCACTAAAAAAACATACATGGAATATGGGATATACAAACTATTGCTTTACTCCCTTTGAGTAAAGTGATGAAAAAGTTGGGATAGCTATATTAAGTGTCTTATGAATTCACTGGCAACTGAATGTAAACTGACGGAAGACATTTCATGAATCGAAGGGTGATCACTAATTACCTCGCCTCTGATGGGGTCTGGGCTGCTGACCACAGCTGACTCAACAACAGCTGGGTGCTCTATCAGGGCACTCTCTACTTCAAATGGTCCAATACGATACCTAGGAGAAGAGAAATTAAATGCTTAGGTGAAAAGCATATAGTTATTTCTTAGACATTTCTTGGCACTTTAAATGAAATCTACAAACCCAGAGGAGATGATGACATCATCAGATCTCCCCATAAACCATATGTAACCATCCTCATCCATGCTCCCTCTGTCTCCAGTGATATAGAAGTTCCCACGGATTGTTGAAGCGGTTTTCACTGGATCATCCTGTTGAACAAGCAACAATTAAATACTCGAAATATTGGGAAGCCTTAAGCTTAGAGATGAGTTTTGCCACTTTGGACACTACCCATAATACCTTTCACTGCATTATTTCTAAGAGCTTGTGCTTGCTTTTTCCATAAGGGAAAACTTATCACAATGGCACATACAGGAGTGAAGATCACACAGTAGGTCTGTTGAAGAAAGGGGGAGAGAATGGAGGTTTCATATCATGAAGTCCTTGCTCAGTCCAAAAATAAGTACTTTATAATATTAAGAATATTTTAACCTGCCCCTATCACAGTAGCTGGATCTCAGATGGAACTTGAGAAACAGAAAATCACTGTCTCTATCTAGCCCTGATCAAGCTACTTTTCCCTTGAGGTGCTTATGCCTGCAGCCTGTCTGAGTGACCAAGTTTGAAGAAAAAAAACATATATGCAGCAGCACCATTGCTGTATACCTTTCTGGATTAAAAGAATAACGGTGGGAGGAACATATACATATACCCAGTATCTGTGCATAATTTGGGTATACACTTTAAGAATCTCCTCTTGCCTTCTATGCTGTCGGTAATTATGAATAAGAGATGGTGGGAGAAGCAAAAGACCAGTGTTTCTACACAAAAAAAGTAACATAGATGCTGCAGAGTCATTCCCTTGAAATGCACTAGGGGTGAGTACACCCTCCACTAAATGTGAAGGAGAGCGCTTCAGTTTGGCAGCTTGTTTTGGATTAATATTGTTACAGTAGTCAAGGTGGAATATGTTGGGGAAGGGCATGGGTGATCATCTTATGCTGAAGTTTGAACTGTTGCATGTTCCTGCCATCGATACTTTATCTCATGCCACTGAGTCAAAAAGTCACTGAAGTCAAAGCACTGTTAAGTTAAGAAGAGCCACAAGCCTTTTGTGCTGCACCTCCTCCTGTAGGTATAAATGCATATCATGCTGCAGGCCTGAACTGGCTCTCAGGAAATTCACTGTTGGCTTACCACGTATCGAGTGAAAAAAGTGAATGGCCGCTTGGCATCAATTTTGATAGCAATGTCTCCTTCTTCCCCAGGAGGCAGAACACTGCCTTTTTCATCTATAATCTGCAACAGAAAAGGCAAATGGGTAGTTATGTTTTCACATTTTAAGAGCACCACGTTCTAAAACTAATCAACACAACAGCTCAACCACTCACAGCCCTGAATACCACCATATGGTACTGAAAGTTGTACTGTATGTTGTGCTTTCCCATTTTTCACTTTCTATGATAACAGTAAACAGAAAAGGAGATCACCATACCTGAACATCGTAGGGGGGAGCTGCCTTGCCCAAGGAACCTGGCTTAATTTTCATTCCTTTCATATTTCCACATATCAATCCCTGTTGGAAAAAACAAACCAGCCCAGATGTTTTTCGTTGTCATTGCTGAGGCTACTCCTGCTCTTGTACTGTGCCCACTGCTGAGCTAGCTTAAGATCTAAATCTGCCATCTGTGTAAGCCAAAACATTAGAGGACTTCACTGAGAGTCTTCAAGAAGTCGATGACATTTTACAGTTTAAGTAGTCTTGGAAGCAGTATCATAACCAAGTTGTAATTGTAAGTAAAACAATAAACCCTTCTGAAGGCAACTGCTACGTATTCTAATGTCAGCACTCTTTCTTAATATATATAGCCAGGTTCTATATTTGCCAGGAGGAATGAGATGTCTTAGTCCACTGAGAGTCTTGAGTGATAGCTAAGTTGTAGCCCCTTACAAATGAGGGTGAACGTACGATTTCTGTTTGGCCATAGCCTTCATAGATATTCAGTCCTGTTTGGTTTTTCCACTGTTCCATCACTTCTGGGTTGACTGGTTCCCCTCCACTCAAACAGTGTTTCAGTGTCTTGAACGTGTACCTTCATAGACAGAGGACATTGCTGATATCAGAGGAAAGAAAGGAACAAATTCCGCTCTCCCAGACAGCTGTATGTCCAACCCTGTGACTTCAGGGCAGACTGAACTTTCTTAGAGCTAGGACTGAGAGAATGCCTAGAGGTATATTTATTGTCCAATGCCTCAGGGCAAAACATGCTCTGGGTTGGAGGTGTCAAAGGGTACGTTTTGTCACCTCTCTCTGCAATGCTGAGGAAAAGGCTGCACCTCCTGACAGTCCTTGCCTCCAACAGAGAATTTCAACCACTCTGAGAGTTTAAGTAGAAAGTAATATTAAGATGCAGGCAATAGCTTGTCCAGACATGGTATTGCTAACAGACAATTGTTAACATAGCTTGCTAACAGACGTGAGGTACCTGGTGAGGTCATGCTGTACCAAC